CATATATAAACAACACAGGTATTTATATAAAATATCTGTATTAATAAAACTGAAATTACTAGTCATTCTGAAATTATGGCAATGTTACAGGATAATTTGATCCACATAACAGATAATAGTGTACACCAATACCTGTGGTCGACTGTACCAACTGTTCCCAAATTCGTGGACTGACACAGCTCATAAAACCCCCAACCACATCAATTCCATGGGGTGGGTAACGATACTTTTGGGGGGGGGGGAGGATTACACTGTAAGTCATATGTTTTACTTGGTCCTCAGCACCTTCTCTCAGGCAGACGTGCGTGACATTACCCACTGTATCAAGTTCACTGTTGCCCTGACGAGAGGTTGACAGGTACCTCCCCTCCCCCTAAGAGCGCACTCAATCACCCTGTTACCTCAATTTACAATGAATCAGTCACATTCTTGGGTCAATCTTCACTGTAAGGAAGGCATGAGGGTTCAAACTATGTATTGTGGAGATTGCAGCACACGAGGGTTCTAGTGGCTGGTATAGGTGGCGTGGGAGGCGTGTGGAGGGTCTAGTGACGAGTGGAGGAGGCGTGTGGAGGGTCTAGTGACTAGTGGAGGCGGCGTGTGGAGGGTCTAGTGACTGGTGGAGAAGGGCAAGGGGCGTGGGAGGCGTGTGGAGGGTCTAGTGACGAGTGGAGGAGGGCAAGGGGCGTGGGAGGCGTGTGGAAGTCATGGTGGCGGGGACGGGGTCAGGGGTCAACATAGTGGTAAGTCATGGGTGTACAGCGTGACGACTCTAGCAAGACCAACATGACTGACTACCCGACACACTAAGGCAAGATGGTAGGGCTAGGTTGAGTAGGATAAAATAGAGAAGGATTAGGGAAGGCGAGTGTGAGTTTAGAGAAGAGGGGGGAGGGAGGAAGAGGGAGAGGAGGGAGGAGAGAGGAGGAGGAGGGAGGGAGGAGGACGGAGGGTGAAGGGAGGAGAGGGAAGGGGAGGAAGACCCCTGGTGATGAGCAAGGGCCTGACCTGCAACACTACCCTGACGATGTCCTGCCCCTTACCCCTCCTCCCTCCCCTAGAACCACACACACACACACACACACACACACACACACACACACACACACACACACACACTGCATATTAACTAGTTACTAATATCTAAAGCGCAACGAACACTGACTTAACGACATTCATCTGAGAGTAGGAATGTCCCAACGGCCTCCTAAAGGTGGGGTGGGCGGGCGGATGAACGGGCGGGTGGGGGAATGGGCGGGTGAGGGAATGGGCGAACAGGCGGAGGGAGAGTCATCTAGGCGGACCCATCTTGGCAAATATCCAATTCAGATACACCATTTGTGCCAAGGTTCCCAGAGAATCCTTTTGAAAACTGACGAGCGAGTTGGCTATACAAATTTCTAATGACTGACAGACAGACAGACACAAACGTGGCCTAAGACTTTCATAAATGACCTCTCTCTCTCTCTCTCTCTCGCCTCGGGTATAGGTCAGAGGCGGTACAGAATGGTCACGACAGCTACTAATATAAACTTCTATGACCTAATTCTTCCGCATATTTCCCCTTCCTTATCGGCGTCCACCTCACTAACGTATGAAACTTCCCTGATTACACCACACTAATGCACGATACTGCCACATTCCTCCACCACACTAATGCACGAAACTGCCACATTCCTCCACCACACTAATGCACGATACTGCCACATTCCTCCACCACACTAATGCACGAAACTGCCACATTCCTCCACCACACTAATGCACGATACTGCCACATTCCTCCACCACACTATCAAGGTTGTCTATCTTCAAACCCAACTGAGACTATACTTGGCTGCCCTACGAGTCACAGGTGAGAGAGAGAGAGAGAGAGAGAGAGAGAGGACACGCATTCTCTCTCCCTCTCTCGTCTTTTTCTCTTTCTGTCTGTCTCCTCTCTCTCTCTCTGCTCCCCTCTATTTCTCTGTCTGTTTATATGTCTTTTTCTTTCTTTCTCTCTCTCTCTGTCCTCTGTTTTTCTGTGTCTGTCTGTCCTTCCTCATCACAAACACACCCAGGTGACCTTTACCTGGGTGAGTTGCTTGGAGTCTTGGTTCCCTCTATGAAGTCAGACAAACAAACACACAAACACAAACAAACAAACAAACACTTCTCTTACGTAATATGTTGTGGTCTAGTGTATGAACAAACACTCACTGAATGATACTTAGAGACACTTGTTTGTTTTACTGCCTAAAGATATACCAAAACAAACACACACAAAAAAAAACAGTTTCATAATGTTTAAATGTTTTTGTTTAGTGTATGAACGATATTTTTTTTTTTGCTTTTTGTTTCACCTAAATTGACGAAAAAAAAATCACAGTAATAACAACGATTTCAACATATGATTAAATTTTCGTAATGTTTCGTCCAGTGTCAAATACCCGAATACATTTTTTTTTATTTAATCAGAAAACGACAACAAAGATATTTACTTTATTACCAAGTTCCCATTTTCTTTAAAGAGGAATTTTATTAATTGGCAGTGTGTGTGTGTGTGTGTGTGTGTGTGTCAAGAGCCTCTTCTTATTTGAGTCTTCCCTCTTTCTCTCTCCTCATCCTTTCCTTCCTTCTCACCACGCTTTCACCCCCCTCACCCTCTTCCTTACCTCCCTCTCTTTACCCTACCCTTCCCTTCCCTTCCTTCACCCCTCCTCTCAATCCCTCCCTCACCTCCCCTCCCCCTCCCTCATCCCTCTCACCTCTCCTCACCTTTCCCTTCCCTCTCTCCCTCTTCCCCATCATCACATCTTCTCCACCACCAGACACAAAAACACTCAAGAATATGCAAATCAGGATATAAAAGTTTTACCGGAACACGAAAACAGCCACTAATTGTAACCCCCGAAAAAACATATAATCAGGAATTTCTAACGAACAGTAATAAGACATTAGGATGAAGTGTAGAGGAAGTAAGAGAGAAGATATAGATGGAAGAATATGATAAACACAAGAATAAAGAAAGGAAGAAGAAATACATAATAATTTTGATGGTTTTCCTGAAGAACACACACGCACACACACACACACACACACACACACACACACACACATTGAAGACTTTAATGAGAGATGGAAGACAAAAACCCAAACTAAATATTAACACAAGAATAAAAAATATATACAACTGTGTGACAACGTTTCAGTTTGTCAAGCGTTAAAGAGACAGAGAGACAGACAGACAGACAGACAGACAGACAGACAGACAAAGACAGACAGAGAAAGAGAGAGAGATATTAAGACAAATTTCCCCCTAAAACTCTTGAATCTTTGCCATGTCAACAATCTGGCCCCCACGCTGTCCATGCTAATGATGTAATTAGTCAAAACTTATTTAATTTATTCGTCTCCAAAGGGGCCAATTAATTCGAGGACTTGGGGAGGGGGGGGGTGATGATAACACACACACACACACACACACACACACACACACACACACACACACACACACACACACAAATCTGACAAGTGAGAGGCGGAGCGAGACACTAAGTCGAACACAATTGAGACACGAGCGAGACATCTGTTTGACACCGGTGAGAGACAACGTGAGAGGTGAGAGACAAAGTGAGAGGTGAGAGACAAAGTGAGAGGTGAGAGAGAAATAGTGGCCAGGTATGGTAATCAGCTGAGGGTCGGCGGAGGGACTGTGGCCACACTTTCTACAATACAGCTTTATTTGGCGACCCTCCCTCCCTGTCTCCTTCCCTCCTCTTACTCCCTCCTTCCCTTCTCTTACCCCCTTCCTTTCCTGTCTCCTTCCCTCTTCTTACCCCTTCCCTCCCTCTCTTCCCTCCGTTTCTTTCCCTTCTCCCACTCCCTCCTCTCTCTATCTCCCTCCCACTCTCCTCCTCTCTCTATCTCCCTCCCACTCTCCTCCTCTCTCATTTTCTTCCCTCTCAAGTGGTCTCTCTCCCTCTCTCCTTTCCTTTCCCCACCCCTCTTTCCCTCTTTAATCATCATCATCATCAGTGTTTCCCCGCGTGTCACCTCACCACCATCATCGCTTAATTGACCAACACAGTGTCAAACTCGGCGGCAACATTGTAAAAGTTTGAGTATAAATTAATTATCAACAACTAAACTCCGAAAACCTAACCTAACCTAACCTAACCTAACCTAACCTAACATTAACCTAACCTAACCTAACATTAACCTAACCTAACCTAACCTAAAAATATCTGAACTGACCTAATGTAACCTACAGTAAATACCTAACCTAACCAAGCCTAACCCTGACCTAATCTGACCTTACCAAATTAACCTATTGAAACTCTCAAAGTATTGATAAACTTCCCTACTTACCAACAGTATATTTGGCCAGCCTCCTTACATAAGCGGTACAGAACTGCATTATGCTCTGGGTGTGTGTGTGTGTGTGTGTGTGCGTAGACAAAAATATTTTTTAAGGAATATTTCTATAATGCGGTCTGATATTTCCTAACCTAACGCCACAACGTTAACCTAACCTAACGCCATAACGCTAAACTAACCTATAACTCTTTAATGACGATGGTTTAAGCTATAACTCTTTAAGGACGGTGGTTTAATCTACACTATATCCTCATGGAGTTAAACCATCGTGTACCAATTGTTAAAACAGCGACCAACAGGTGACCTCCTTCAACAAGCTCCTGAAAAAGTTGTCTCCTGCAGCGTCCAGCAAGACCTTGACAACACGAGGCAAGGAAACATCTGCTGGGTTTAATAATAATAACAATGTTGACAAGATGTGGTTCTCAAGTCAGTACCTTAAGTGAGTAGCTTCTTGTTCCGGGTAATGTTAGTCGAGGGAAGGTGAGGTGGGGTGAGGTGGGGTGTGGGAGATGAGGTAGGGGAGATGAGGTAGGGGAGGTGAGGTGGGTAGATGAGGTGGGGAGGTGAGATGGGGAGAATCACCTAAGGGGAAAGGTTGGGGGGAGGTGTTAGTGACAGGTGAAAGCAGGAGTGGCACCTACCTGGCATGGTCAGCATCTAGCAGTTCCTGTACCTCCTGCGGCAGGTGGGGAGGTGCCCGACCCTCTTCATCGTGGCACGAACAGTAGCACATGTCTTCCTCCTCCTCCTCCTCTTCCACCTTCTCCTCCAAGCCACTCTCTTGCCATCTGCTTTCTCCCTGAGCCAAGTCACTCTCCCTCGAGGTGCTCTCTCTCAGAGGGGAGTCCTTCTCGCCCCAACTAACTTTTTCCGCGTTAGTTTGGGGGTCAGGAGCGACACACACGGGATGGGGCTCAGTGAGGGAAGGCACTTGTGTTTCTATCGTGTTATTTAGGTCACTTGTCTCTTGTTTATCACTTGTTGCTGTCCTGTGTCTACACTTACACGTACACAAGATGTTCTTTTTGATCCACTCTTCGTCCACTACAACATTAGCACTCTCAGTGTCTTTACTCTGTCCCACATCTCCCTCCTCTTCCTGATTATCCTCCTCCTCCTCCTCCTTCCCTCCAACATCACTATCCCTTGTGATATAATCAGCGCCGCCAACCTTCTTCCTGGAGTGTGCCATGAAGGTCCTCTCCTGACCATTATATAACACAGAGGCGTCAGGGGGCGCCAGGGTGGTGACGGGGCCGCTATAGTACCCATGATCTCGGAGCCATGAAGCAGCCCGTTGGACATGATCCTCCACCCAGATGGGATTAACCTCTACTAACGACGGCGGAATGCTGTAGTAGCCGCTGTCTGCGTCATCCCGGGCCAGGTGGTGGTCGCCTGTAGCCTCCGAGGACCAGCTGCTGCCGCTGGGAGAATCTGCTCTTGTGTACTGTTCCAGTTTGTTCTGTGTGGCGCTGTACACGTCGGACAGGAAACTCCTTCCCTTGTTGACAAACTGAGCTAATTTTTTTCTGACGCTACGAGTCCTGGTAAACTCACCAGCACCGCCCCCCTCCTGGTGGGCCTCCGTCGGATGTGGGAGGGCGTGGGTGTGGGGGATGTCATCTTCAACGTCAGCCTCCGTGACGCCCACAGCTGCTGCTTCAGCTGATGAGGTTTGCAAGGTGGTGGTAAGGTCGGGCAGTGAGCCTGATGAGTCAGTCTCAGTGTCACTGTTCCCTGCATTCTCGCCCACACCCTCACTCTTTGACGTGTTCTTGATGACGAGTGTGCTGTTGTTGTAGGTCACCAGCCGCGTCTGTACACTGATCTTGTAGAACTCGCCCTCGTCCTCGAGTTTATCTGCCTCACACACGTCTTTGTCGTCGTCGTCTACGGTCGCCTTCTCCTGGGGTCTACCTTCATTAACCCGATCCCTAACTTTCTGAATGACCTCGGACGTTGATGGTACAGTCACGAGTCTCGTTTCATTTCTTATCTTGGGCGTGTCAGCCATAGTAGACGGCGGCTGAAGTGACCCTTGAGGGCTGCCACTCTTCCTCACCTCCTGCTTGACGGTCTTTTTTATCGGTTCAATTTTCGTAGGTGCTTTGTTTGGCGATTTTTGAATCATCTTACGATCTTCCTTACACTTCCCTGCTCTACTGGTGGATGAATTACGAGTCTCACAAATTTTATCACCTTTCTGGTTGCCAGCGCTACCTGTCGTCAGCTGCTGAGATGCTCTCCTGGTGGGGGTGTAGGTCGCTGCCTGGGGGGAGGTGTTCTGGCCTGTAGTTCGACCGTCCATCTTGCAGTAAGGAGGATGCGACTCCGGTGTGAGGGTTCCTGCCTGTTTGTACCTCTCCTGCACTGGAGGTCCTGGGGAGCCCGTCATTCTGCCAACACGCTCCTGGCAAGGCGTAAGTGTGGGGGTGGCAGGACCTGGCGGCGACTCTGTAGAAGGCGTCATGGGTGAGAGGTCCCCACCACCCCGACACACGGGGTCGTCGCGGTCCTTGTCTACAGTTTCCGGGATGTTTTCCTGCTCCTGTTTCTCCGTGGAGGAATCTTTATCATCCTTGTCGTCCTCGTTACTCTCCTGTCTGTGACCACCGCCGCTGATGATGGAGGGGCGGGTGGGTGTGTCCCTCCTGATAACCTCACCGTTCTTCACCGGGCTGATGTCTCTCTTTCGCCGGTGTGTGGGTTTCACCGAGGCATCGCTAACACCCATTTTACGGCCGCTCTGATGCTTATCACCGCTGTTATTCTTCTCCTGGGGGCTCCTCCTGCCGCTCTTCATAGTACTGCGGTCACTAGTCTTGTTACTGACTGGATGGTCCGCCCGGCCCACGCTTTTGTTCGAGTCCACCTTTGAGAGTCGCTCAAAAACATGTGGGCGTCTGGTGTTCTCAGAGGCCTGAAGGCTCCCTCTCTTGTCGTTCTTGTTACCAGTATTCAAAGTTTTCGTGGGACTAGAGTCTCGCCTTCTGGTGTTTTTAACAGGACTGCGGTCTCTCTTACCTTTGACGGGACTCGCCTCCAGCATGTTGTCCCCGACGACATGGTTCATCTTCAAGGCTGAGCTGGAGGTCTGCCGCTGAAAAGACTTGAGGGCCCCGTCTATATCACTCTTCTTCCGTCCCCGTGTCCTACCACGAGGGTCCTGACCTGGCGACTCTTCCTGCAGCCCCTTCTCCAGCTCCGCCGTCAGGGACTTGGACATAGAGACGCCCAACACACTCTTGGCCGTCTTAGCCGTGGAGGTATCCGAGGCGAGGCGTTTCAGCAGCTCGTGGTTCCGACGCTCGTGGTCCATCTTGGCGTGGGCGTGGCGCTGAGGACCCGCCACGGAGCCGCTGTGTTCCCGCCTACTCCCCATCTCCTGCCTCTACACCTCAGCAGGGATCCTCGGCCCTCAACACTACCACATAGGGACTCCTGGAGGTATACACTGTACTAACGTCAACCTTTTTCTCTCCACTTATTTCACGTCACATCACCACAACACTTGAGTAATCTTCACTGTTATTCACAATTTGTCACTTATAAGATTTTTCTAACCTGTAAAGAAATAAACGCAGCCTTAAGTAAACATTGTACTACTCATTGTTGATACTCGCAAAGGTAAATACTTGAGGGTATTATCTCCAAGGGTGAGGTGTCTTCTCTCACCTGCTTCCCCTCCCCATCACGACACACTACTTCCTCTACACCACAACCTACTACTTTCTCCCCACCATAACCAACAAGTCCCTCCACATCACGACCCAAGAGTCACGACATTCTCCCCACCACCACCACACTAACCTCTCTCCACCAACTCAAACCCTCCCCACTCCTACCAACGACACACAACTCATCCCCACCACAACTCACAACCCCTCCCCTTCACCTCAGCTCGTAACAATACTAGTGTGGGGTCATCCGAGGCCCAGAAGCCCTTCTGTAAGTCTCCCGGGAGGATCCTGTACATGGGGTGACGGTAGGGGGTGAGGGGGGTGAAGACGGGGGAGGTGTGAGGACAGTGGTGAGAGGGAGTGAGAGAAGCTGTAGGGGGTAAGATAAGAGCGACACGGTTATGTTAAGGTGTGAGGAAGGTGACCAGGGGGAGGGAGGGTGTTACGGGGAGGGAGGAAAGAAAGAGGCGGGGAGAGGGAGGAAAGGAAACAAGGAGAGGGGAGGAGGAAAAGGAGGAAGGGGAAGAAGGAAGGAAGGAGGGAGGGAGGAAAAGAAAGTGAGGGAGGGAGGGAGGAGGGACGGAGGCAAAGAGACGGAGGAAAGGTAAGGGGGGGGGAGGAGGGCAATGAGGGATGGAAGCAGCAAGGAGAGAAGATTACCCAACAGTCTTCAACACACAAGACAGTAACCTTCCCGCAACACCGTCCTCAACCCCTGAACAATGGACCTCCTCCTCTTCCACCACGGGTCCTGGAAGCCGCCCCACCGATCCCCATCATTATGTTACCAAGTCCACCTCCCGGAGTCACCTTCAGGACGCTACCAGACCGGGTGTTGATGATATCCTTCAATAAACACAAGGACACGGGTTTATCAAGGTTCTTAAGTCAATTTTCTCTTAAACTGAATCTTGTGAGAACGCTTCTGACTTACCGACGGATTCTGAAGCGTTCGAACGTAATTTCCACCCCTTAACTGAAGCTGTAAGAACGTATTTGATTAAGTCGTTTAAGATATGATATACAGACGGATTCTCAAGGGTTAGTGAGTTATATTTTCCCGTAACTGGTGATGTATGAGTGAATACAACTATCTCACACGGCACAAATATGGCGGATAAAGCTACACCGAGACTCGACCTTGACTACCTCGTTGTTAAGGGTCACTGGTTGAGTTAAGTCGCACGTAAAGAACCATCCATCAGTCAGGTCCGGGAAGATGTATATAAACCCCATGGATCCTTGAGTTACCTTTACACCGTCAGGAAGGTAATTCATCGCAGCTTAGAATATCTTTCACCTCGTTACAATTACACTAAAGACAATAACCATTACAAATTCTTAAAAGTTGCTTAATTAACAAAGAAGCATTACGTCACTGTACATTAATCATCAACCCGTGTAGGAGGAGGAAAGGTCAGTAAGTCTCTCTCACACTCAAACGGTGGGAGGAGTCAGATTGAATCACGGGAAGTTACGTGAGGTAGAATAAGAGCGTCATCATCCCCCCCCTCCCTACCCCCCCTCTCTTCTACACCATCTCAACGTCTCCCCCCATCATCCCTCGAGTGCAATACTAGCGATAATAATAATAATAACAAAGGCACTAAATAACACATAACAAGACCTACACCACAACACTTCATTACATCCTCCTCATCACCAACAATAGGAGGAACTGACGCAATGTTTATCAGTCACCACGAGGTAAAGGCGCAGTTACCAGGTATAATGATGTCTGTGTTATCTTGTTCACTTAGATAACACTGAATGATAACTGTTATTATCTGGTGATACTATATCCAGTCACACACACACACACACACACACAGACGTACACATATACACAGACAAAAAGAGAGATACACACACACACAAAATTCCTGTCAATTTATATCATTTCATAAAGGCCAGCATGAACTCCGCATGCTTCCCAGTTGGGCGCTGTAAACACTTCTGCGCTTCACCTTGCACAGGATGTAAGGGGGTGCCCAATAAACTAGCCCCCTCCGGAGCAATCTGTAAATCTTCCTCTCACAGTGACGTCCCGTGAACTATAGCTGGTTGGCTCTCTCTCTCTCTCTCTCTCTCTCTCTCTCCAGTATCAACACCATCTACATATTAACCTTGGCCTAACCTAATGATACGCCAACTTAACCTAACCTAACACTATTCTAACCTAATCCTCCCAGGTAGCGTTGGGTTAGTTAATGTTCAGGTAAATAAGCTGGGGGGACTAATCTTCAGGTGGTCACTCTCATTTACCCGATAGCTGTAGTTTAAATGGAACCTTCTATAACAACTGACAACTTGACACAACACATATTGGGTTAATTAAAAAACTTCTTCCACAACTCTATATTCCAACTAATATTTATCTAATTCCTTTCTAAATCTATATCTTTCTCCTCTAAATATATCACCAAGTGTTCGATCTTGATTTAATTATTTAAGTAAAGTAATTCCTTGATTTACGAAAGAAAAGATCAATTACTTCAAAATCTTTCGCAAACTAATAATTCATAAATAGAGGATTATGGGTATTTTAGTCTACCTGTACATCACCTTTATTTTATGTCACACACCCCGGAGCCCTCAGGTGAAGGTCCCCCCACCCACCCCAACATCGCCCGCTAATTTAACATCCTCACTAAACTCCAACGCTGATGTTTATCTTTGTACCCCGCCAACCTGGTCCCCTTACCCTCTCAAAAGACCCGGCCGTTGAATCCCCCCCCCCCAGTCCCCGCCCCTTCCAGACACACCCTCTCTCTGAACTGAATCTCATCTAGATCCCAATTCTTGATATGTTTGGATCATATAAAGGTTAACCCCCCTCCCCCAAGCTTATTTCACCTAGATCCCCCCTCCCCCTCGTCAGGTAACGTAAGGGTGTTTAATCAGGTTAAATAAGCTTGTTAGGGGCTAATCTATAGGTGATTCAAATGTCTCGATGAAAACTCTGAATACGTGAAGCGACGGAACACAGATAACATACGTCAGCGTTGTATTATCAGTGCGTATAAATCTTATCAGGAGAGGAAAGTGTTGTAGCGGCTCTCCCACACACAGGATAAGTCAGGAATCTGGGGAAAGTCACCACTACCCCAGACGCCACACGTAACCACACCCCCAATGCCACACCTTGCGCTACACCACAAGACAGTCGAGATACAGATACACGAGAAACAATGGTATAGTAGATGGCGGTACATGAGCAATAACGCCCTCCTCCTCCTCCCCCAGAACAACACAAACACCAGCTGGGGAACAATGGTACAGAGACAACGGTACAAACACATAAATCACCAGTAGAGTAAGGTACAGAGAAAACGGTGCGTAGATAATAAGCCCTGGAGTTACACAGTCAACGGTACACACTAGGAGAATCACATGGCAGGTCCCGATACAATGGGCGACGGTACAGTATGTGTAGTCAGAGGTATGGTTCAGTCAATCACCAGCAACTGTAGTAGTAGTATCAAGGGTACATACAGTAAGGCGACGGTACAGAGAAACTAACCCTCGGTACACACCTCGTCAATCACCAGTACTGTACCTGTATTCTCTATTAATTTCAACGGTACACTCAAGTGACGGTACGTGTAGTCACAGACAAGGATAAGTGGAAACTGACCTCCCAGGCTCCCACACTCCAGTCACACACACATCCTGCCCGGCACACACACACACACACACACACACACAGACATCCTGCCCGACACACACACACACCACCTGCTACTGACTGACCTCACCATGGGTCAGGTCAAACTAGGTCAAATGAGAATAACAGACATACAAAGAAAACACAGGAGGCCTCAAGTGGGGTGATAAATACGAGGAAGAGAGAAACTACAATAAAGAGGGAATAATGAATACAATATGAGGGATCTATACGTGCGTGTGCATGTATGTATGTATGTATGTATGTATGTATGTATGTATGTATGTATGTATGTATGTATGTATATATGTATGGGTGTGTGTGTGTGTGTGTGTGTGTGTGTGTATGTATATGTATGTGTATGTGTGTGTGTGTGTGTGTGTGTGTGTATGTATGTGTGTGTGTGTGTATAATATCACCATGTACGTATTGCTCAAAGCTATGTTGTGTATTATTTTACCGTCGTATCAGGGTTCGACTTTTTCTGACAACACCAAATCGTCGCCACACACCCTGATCAACACCCGTCACTTCCGACCGTGGATTACGTTAAAGGACGGATTGACGGTGTAGACGGGACTTGAAAGGCGAGTGACTAATAACACACACGTCCTCCTCGTAACCCTGGACAAGCGATTCCCAGAAGATAGTGCGACGGGTATTGTCTTACTCCAAGCGTTTGACTCCACCCCTGGCACACTCCCCAAGATAAGAGAACACCGTCTATAGAATGTATCATATCGCTTAGGACTACCAGATCATATTACTGTACCATTCATGTACCGAGAGAGAGAGAGAGAGAGAGAGACCATCAACAATACCCTACATTAAGTGTTTACATGGGGGTCTACAGTACCAGGTGACACTCCTCCCCCTTCCGGAAGTACTTGAGACTGGCCAACAACACCTCTACACTACACTACACTACACTACACTACACTCAGGAAAATGTCACTACACCCATCCGCTGCCCATAACTACACACACACTTCCGGTGACGTCACCACAACAACACGACTCGACGCTCCATAAAGTGACAGACAGAAGCAGCACCAACACAATGCTAAGCCAACACGTAAACAAGGCTCAAATTCACCCTCCAGTCACCCAAAAAATTGAGTCTTACGCTACATAAACTGGGGAGGATGATGATGATGATGATGGCAGATAGTGCTAAGCCATTACGTTTCATAAAGCTGGAAATCGCACTCTATAAC